AGGAGACATTGTTTTCCTTTGTTTCTTACGACCGGGCACAACGTCACAATACCGCCATTCGTTTTTCCTGCAAACATGGCCATATGTACAACGTACATGCAAACTACCACATCTCACACAATCGAGCATGAGCAAATAATGAAATGTTGATATAAGATACCCTCCGATATACGTACAATATTTGCAATTACGATTTTAAGTTGAGTGTCTTGCCCGAGTTGTTCGAGCGAATTGTGACTCAGCATGTGGCCTTTGCCATCAATTTGTATATTTCTCCGCACCAGCACGGCTTTCGGAAAGGGCGATCTACACTCACCAACTTGTTAGAGTTTATTTGTCGTGCTTTCAAGGCTTTGTCTAGTAGATCTAGCACTAATTTAATATACACCGATTTAAGCAAAGCGTTTGATTTGGTTAACCATAACTTACTTATCTTTAAACTCCAAGCCTCTGGCTTCCCTTTCTATTTAGTGAAATTAATAAGCTCTTACCTGAATGAATTCCCCGTGACATCTGGCGTACCTCACGGCAGCCGCTTAGGTCCCCTTTTATTTAGTTAATACATTAATAATCTCCCATCGGTGATTAATTCCAGTCAGATCTTAATGTATGCTGATGATGTGAAACTGTTTTCTTTCTTCTCTGTGGAATCGAAATCACATCAGCTTCAAAGTGACTTGAATAATTTGATTGCATGGTGCTCTTTGAATCTACTGAAACTAAATCTGAGTAAATGTAAGAAGCTTTCTTTCTTAAGAAGAAAGTCATTCATTGCTCAGTATTTCATAGATTCGCATAAGTTGGAGGACGTCGATTCGATCACAGATTTAGGCGTTCTATTTGACCATAGGTTACGTTTCAACTTGCATATTGAGCTCTCGATAAGCAAAGCTAGGTCCGCGCTTGGTTTTATAAAACAGTGGTCCAAAGAGCTTGATGATCCCTACATTACGAAGAGGCTGTACATGTGTTTGGTTAGACCCATACTCGAGTATGCCTCTGTTGTGTGGTCTCCTTCCTATATGTGCTATCTAGATTCAATTGAATCTGTTCAAAAGCAATTCTTGCTGTTTGCCCTTAGAAATTTGGGTTGGGATCCGATTAGTTCTCTTCCTCCCTATGAAGATAAGTTACTTGTGTTATCCTTACCGTCTCTCAAAAGACGTAGGTTTGTTCTTGGCGTTTCCTTCTTAATCAAAGTAATAAATAGTGCTATTGACTCGCCGTCATTAGTTGGTGAAATAAGCTTTAATGTCCCTAACCGCTTCTCTAGGTACTTTATTTTAGTTAAGCTTAGTCAGTGTAAATATAATTATGAGCTGTTTAATTCGGTCAGAGTAGTTTGCAAGAACATAAAATACGTCTATCACTTATTCTCGTTATCGGACTCTTTAAAGTCCATTAAAGCAACATTGCTTAATACGCGCGATTTAGCTATGTCGTACTTAAACTAGCTTTTATCCTTAAAAGTCGTTACGATTCGAAAATGAATTCTTGTTAAGTATTATCGGTTGCCAAGCTTATGCACGTTTGCGATGGCTTAGGGGCTCATTTGCAATTTGTTCCTGTACCGGTTGTAAGTGTGGCTCTATGCTGGTTGCGTACATGCGTTTTTTTCCCTGTTTTTTCCTTTTTATTTATTTTATTGTACTTATACCAAGTTTTATTATTAATTAATATAAGTTTTGCTTTAAGTGCCAATTGAACTCGACTGTTATTTGTTTAGTTGAGTTTGATGTATAAGTAGAATTAAAATAAATAAATAAATAAATAAATAATACATTGTAAAACTTAATACACAATTAACACTTTCCACACACACAAAACCTTTCGCTTGAAGAAAGTATTATACTTCAAGCTCCCCAAGTAAAAAAATTTTTTGCATTGCATAAACTATTCCTAATTAGCTCAAACTGTGAAACTAAATGTACCTCAAGACTGTCAAGAATGCGAACTACTGCTCAAAGGATAAAATTTTTTCTTTTTTTACGTCATTCAGAGCTGGTGCTTTAACTAAACTGAGCCAAAATTCGAACTAAAAAATAGAAAGGGTTTGAAGTTCTTACGTCCATATCTCATAATGTGTTCTTGCTTTTGTGGCCAATCACTATTCATAAGAACTGTGACTGTGATTTTTTATCAAACTTTCTGTAATTTTCAGCAACATGAGAGCGATTTTACAAGTCATAAGTTGTCACAAGCAAACGTCAAATTAATGTTGTGACGTTTTGGTATCTATGCATAAAAAACGAGTCATATTATTATTTAAACTAGAAAAGGCAAGTTATCATCATAATCATAATTTTTTTGCACTTCATTGAAGCAAAATCGTAACCATCCTAACATTTAAAGATTTTAGATGCATGCAAAAAAGAAGGACACGGTTATAATCATTTTGTCACAACGTTTGCAATGCTCAAAAGGAAGTTTCAGAGAACCTATAAAATACATATGTGCTCTTGATTAGCGTTAATTCTCAATCGATCTAGCTACGTCTCTCTAACTTTACGTCTGTATGGATGTGCGTTGTTAATACTCTTCTGGTCGCAAAAATTGGGATATTGACTTCAAATTTGACAGAGTCATTTTCATGCTTTTGTTCACCTTCTTGACATCTCCTATTTACGATTCATCAGGCCTTGAAGGTAGAATGTTGAAAATTGTTCCGCACATTCTGCACATTGCCTTTAATTAAGACAAATTGAACACGCCCCCATTATTATAAAATACCAAAATTTAAGGAGTTCAGTTTCACATATTTTCTTACTTACTTTTCTCAAGTTAAAGTGGGAAGAGCATTCATGGTACATTGTATAGATCTTTTCACCCCACAAATGGAAGTAGACAAAAAATGGTGAAATCAATGGTGATTAGCCGAAGGTTTCCGCAATACTTTCTTTGTTCAAAACTCAAATCGATAAACGCAAGGAGAGACAAAGCTGTTCATGGTACCCCAAGCAAATTTTGTGTGCACTTAACGTTCGTTCAAATCAAGTAGTTGGTTTTTCGCCTTCCACGAAGCATTTTATTGTTGTACAAAATTTTGATTTTTCGTGTTTTTTATGCTTATATATTTATTATACTTTTCTATTGAGGAATACTTTCTCCACTTAACTTTTTCTACTTACTTTTTTATAATATTCATCGTTCCATTATTATATAACCAATTAAATTTTTGTTATATAAATTTATTCTAATACATATTCTAGTATATACTATCATTTAATAAGTTAGACAAATTTTAATTTAATTTTATGCGTAATGAAGTGATTAAGTTTGTTATGATATATATAAAACCCCAATAGAGTCTTAGCAGAATAGGGACGCATTAATTTCGTCATTCTTACAAATTGTCATGAAAGCCTTCATAGAGTGCACATGTTCAGTAACCACAGTGCGATTTGCAATCGGTTCTCCCGTATTACTACTAGTCTTAAAAGTTTGTGCGTTTTGTTACATTTTACGTAAAACACTTATGCACGTACGTATGTGTGCTTATCATGAAACTAATGCAAAACACTTGTGAAAATATTTCAATTTTACCATTAATAGGTATAAAAATTTTATGAGCCATGTGGATCTTGCGATTCCTAATTATTTATTTCTAAATGCATTTGTAGTGTCCAATATCTTCAGTCCTAGCGAAACGGTAACATATTCTAGGCTGTTGTGGTCAAATCCTGCCTGTCAGAGGTGACTGACGACGATGTCGTACCTCTATACCATCGAACATCTCTATTTTCCTTCATCACTATTCTGATATAACATTTACTTATTCTCTTCTTGAATAGATTGTAAATTATATACGTAATTTAATAAAAAAAAAAATGAGGAAATAGTTTTTATAGGAATTAATTTCATCAAATTTGCAAGTTTTCGTAACAATACAAATAAAATTAAATTGTTAAATTTAAAATTATACGGAAAAATTTTTTTGAAATATACTTTTTTTACCTAACTGAAGTAAAAGGCAAAAATAAATTCTGACTTAGGCTTTTTTATGCGACTACACATAAACGACAAAGTGTGGACACTTTACGCTCTAAGAGGTAGCATAAGTAGTACTGTAAGATGCTGAATAAAACAATGACTTCTTCTTAGAATGTCTCATCCTCTCCATCCTTATTAGCAGACATTGCTCCTTCCGGATAAATGAATTTCAGTAGACGACTTATTGTTTGTTCAAATGGTGTTTCTATTTTTATGACTGTGCCTAAATGTGATCACTTTTCCACTTCGCACCTAATTCATATTCTTCATAAAATATTGGAGAAGTAATGACTATTGCTGAACAACAAATTGAACAAAGTAATTTCTAACAATCTTTTATAACACTCTTCACGAATTTCACGAAAAAGACACCCACCTATTATGGCCACATAAAAGTTACTGGGACTACATCCATTTTCCATCTTTAAGTTCATTTAAATTAAGTAAGGTAAAAGGTAATTGAAAAAAATTGTCTTTACATGATTTATTTCTTGCTTTTTAGTCTAGTGAAACACGCGTCCTACCCTCGAAACTCCTATCGAAAAGTAGACTGTGCTGTCGGTGGAACAAAACAAGTGGGCAAAACAGTTTAGAATTATAATGCAAAAAAAAATTTTAAATATGATTGATTATTTTTGTTTCATCCGTTATCACGGATTGTTTTCAAAACAAAGCTCTATATATAATTTTTTAAGATTATAAGCTCCAGATCGAAAATATTATAAAAATTTTTTAAATTAATTAAAACTGTCCTAAAATGCGCCAGTTATAGGAAAGATATTTAAATTAGCCTTCTTTTCCCTAAGGAGGGAAACAAGGAAAAGATATCGAATATATATAGATGACAAAAAGCATAGTATTCAATTAGAATTTCAACTTCAAAGCGGCGAACAAAATTATCCCTTTTTTCAAACAACAAACAAAATTATCCCTGTTTGGAATATCTGTTTCTTATCTTACATCATCTGCGTCTTTATTTCTTCTAAAAATATTACCTTTTGACATTTTAGTATGAATATCAGTTCGAGGTAAAAGACCCGGAAAAGGAATTATTCTTTAACAAAAACGAAGCCGGTGACGCTCAAGGCAAAGTAAGTAAATGTATTTTCATTAAATAATATAAAAAAGACTAATGATAAAAACTTCATTTTAAAACAAGGTACAAGGACAATATTCCGTTTGGTTGCCCGATGGAAGATTAATGACGGTGGCTTACACGGCTGATGGTGTGGAAGGCTTTGTACCGAAAATAACATTCGATACCAATAATCCTTTAGGTTAAAAGATCCCATCTGGTCTTGGTTTAACTTTGGTCTTCAAACGTGAATGGATTCATGTTTATAGCTATACAATTAAAGAAAACACAACACACACACACATCATACGTATACTTATTATTATTATTATTACATGTATGTATCATTATGTCTCTCTTTCAAGAGAGATTATTAACCTATCAATGCGTAAAGTTTTTAGTTAATATTTACTCACATTCGTGGTTGGAGAAGGTTAGAATAAATATGTACTGTTTTCTCTATTGTTTTTTTTTTTGTATGTTATATATGTATGTAGTTGAATGGTAAATAAGCGTTTCTAAAGTCAAATTGATCGCGATTCTTTTTTATATAAATATGTTTTAAACAAATAAATTTAATTAAATAGTCTTTCTCATCATCATTACCCTTGTTTTGATCATTTTCGTTTATATTCTCTCGAATTATTCTTGTTTTTATGCCCATATATATCCTCTACATTGTGTCCGCGAAATATTCAGTAAATATCTATATATATAATAAAGAATGCGATAAAAGGACAACTTAACGGCTTTTGGTTCATCGCCAGCAAAGAGAAGAACGAAAGATATATTAATTTCTTGCCTTCAATTGAATTTTTTTTATTTTTCCTTTAAATTTTGAATGGTCATTGCCTAATAATAATCATCCGTTTCTAATAACCCACTATTAGCAATACTTTACATAAAATTTCCACAGTTTAATATACTTAAAACATTGACATTAACTCAAGATTGCAGACTTAACACCTTTTTTAGGTAGTAACTACTATCGTTGCTTGGATTTGACGTTTGTTCCTTGGCGATATGCTACTATTTTATCAATAGACAATTCGTGATTAACCATGGTGGCGAGCAAGCCGTGTGCATTAACTGGTGATTCATTGGGCCCATAATCAATGAGTTGATTGTCTAATGTGGTCATTTTGCCGCCAAAAGTTCTTAAAATAGCATCGCCGGCACAAATATCCCATTTCTTAATTTTGGTAGAATGTAAATAGGCGGTAGCATTATTTCCTACCACTTGCAACACTTTATAACCGGCACCGGCAGCTGCCAAAATGTTCGATTCTTCACCGAATACTGCATAAATTAAATCCTTCGCATTTCCAGCATGAGAGCGGGATACAGTTATAGTAGGCTCTATTGTTGTGCTTCCGGAGAGTCGAATGGTTTCTAAATATTCTGACGTTGAATGATCGAGCCAAGCCCAAGCCGTTTTTCCGGTAAATGGATTATGAATAACACCTATAATTGGATTGCCCTTCACTGCCACACAAACCATTGTTGTAACATATTGGTATAATTTTTCTGCAGTTAAATACATAGATCTTAGCAGCTTTAGTTTAAAGGGATATTCTACGTATCTTACCTGTAAATTCTTTTGTGGCATCCAGTGGATCAATCCATACCGTTATATCGTGTACACTAACCAATTCGTCAGTTACTTCGGCTGTTTCATGCAAAACTGTTGGATCCAAATCAAATGTACTCGTTTCAGTACACGTTTCTTTGTCCTCCTCTGAAATTATAGTTATACGAGGAAATATTCTAAGCAAACCCTGTTTCATCACGCAATGAGAGCGACTATCGGCAATTGTGTAAGGATCATTGGCTCCCTCATCGGTTTTGCCTTTGCTACGTTCTTTTAAATCCTGACTTTGAGCAACTTCAACAATTTCCAAGCCGCCACGTTGAGCCGCATGTATAGCACCTATTAGTAGCTTGCGCACATTAACATTGTTTTGATTTGTAAAAATGCTATACGCCGGCGTTTTCTCTCGTGAGCTATATAGGTATATCAAGCTACATGTCACAATTATAACAATGACGGATACGGGAATACGATTTATCTTTATAATGCGACCATTCATTGCATAAAACGTTTGTTATCGTTTGTAATGAGATATACTGAATAATTAACTTTTTTAAATAAAATTCTTATACAATTATAGTCGCTATTGTAATTGGCGTTCTTCTCTTTACAAATTTATTAATAAATGTAAGTATCCTCACGTAAGTAATATTTCCTTTAATTAATGTAAACAAATCATGTTCAATTCGGCAACGTTGCCAGATCGCTTATTTTACAATAGCAAAGGCAAACTGCGCGCAGCTCGTCAAGTGAAAAATTCAGAACAAATTCAAATAAGAAATGTTCACTAATTAGGTATCGTGTTAACTTGTTCTCATTTTCGAGATTCGACATTTTCACTATACGTATGCACAAGAGAAACCCTCTCTCAAAATTGTCAAAATCGCCGTATATAAAATTCCTCACGCCTAAGATATTCTGAGTTAGTTTGGTTGTTTATAGCTGCGTTTATAAAAAAAAACAGCTGTAGATTGATATAAAATAAATTCCAAACAAAATTGTTTACTTGCAAACAGTTGAACCAAAAACAAAATTTTAAATTTGCAAAAGGTTAGTAAATTAATACTTTTTTTACTTTTTACTCCAATGGTCGCCAAAGCTTCTAAGCAATTGTGCATAATCAATCTTGGGGTATATAAAGGTTAATAATAAATTCCCTTTTCTAAATATAAATGTAGCTTTTTTATTTTTCAAGGTCGATGGCGATAGAAAAGTGGAAAAGCATATATAAAGTGTAAAATCCGGAAATTCACAATTTTAATTTTAGAGCTAACATTGATTTGCAATTCATTTTAAAACGTTATAGATAAATTCATATGTTAACGTATAAGTTTATCATGTCAAATAGAGAGATACATATTAAGATTCAAAGTTCGAGTTCACAATTCGAAGTTTTCCCAAGAAATGACAATATGAAACTGTATGAATTATATGAAATTATTTTACTTATTATTTTATTTTTATTTACTTTTTTATGCTTTTGTTATCGATTGTATCTTTGTAAACAAACAAGCGTCAAATTTACCCCTCATTTTTTTCGAAATAAATTTCGAATGACGAAAGCTATACATACCTCTCACATAAATGGTTCTGGAGGTACGTCTCCCGAATGGGAATTGATTAACTAAATGATACACAATTAGTGCCTCGGTTTCGATGTCTACAATTTATTGATTTGCTCTTATTTACATGAACCAAATTGATAAAAATTATTACAACTATGTATAAAATTTTAATGCAAATATAAAATAACATTAATCATTTATTTTCGTAAATAATATATTAAGGGGAGACAAAAATACATATTTATTTGAATTTATTATTATTTATTTTCCTTGTTATACAAACTATAGTAAATAATGCTTTGGTACATGTACTGTCTGACATATAACAAGCATTATTTGAATTGTTAAAAAAAAGAAGAAAATTAAGTACTAACTGTCGTCAACGTTCAATATAAGCAAAACATTCAAAACCGAAACAAAGTAAATTTCATCCAAAAACGCTTAAAAGTATATCTATGTAACAATAACTGTGTATAAAATGATGGAACTCACTTTTTATTATTAAATCATTTTCTTTTGACTTTTTCTAAATATAGAATTCTGAGCCAAAGATATGGTAGGATCATATAAGTTGGGATATAGTATCTTTAGCTTAAATCAGTACATTTTATTTAATAAAGAGGGAAGAGAGATTTTCAAAATAAACCTTCTGGTGTATAAAAATGTTTGTATGAAATATACAACGCCAACTTTTGTAATAGTGACGATGATCATAAACAATACAACAAACAGTATCCCGTGTCAAACATGCTTGCAACTCATGACATCTCCGTATCGCAATTCCTTTTATGAATATATATTAAAAATCAAAGCAGGGCAGCGAAAACGAGCAACTTTCAGTCGGTATTTGAAAGCTTTTCATTTATGTAATTTCTTTACTCTAATTACTTTTATTAATATAAAAGAACTAGCTTAATTTTTCAGTTTACTGAAAGCTCAAAAAAGAGCTTTTAGTTTATCATTAAAACCAACTAAAAGCTTGAAACATTAATTATGAGAATTTTTAGTAGCATGACCCTTCATAAGTTCCGACCTTTCCATTCCTACAATTTGAAATCTATTAAAAAAATTTTCCTCTCAATAAATCAAGATCTTTTAGCAAGGTTCAAGTAATATACCTTAAAATTCTCTAACTTGTTTTCATACATTTATTGCTTACTTAATATAGTATTGTCATATTTTCCTCCTAAAAGTAGACAACTTTTTTTTACATTTTTTTATTGTCTAAAAGTAGGCAATAGTTGAATTTTTTTGCTAAAGATCATCACCAAATTTATAGCTCCGTAGTTCTAGTTCTAGTTACAAACAATGTATTTCGGCATTATCAAAGAAGAAGACGCGCCTACCCTAAGTGGACATAAATAATATAAAATGGAAAAAAATACTTGATATATAACGTGCAGTTTTTTATACTGACATATTCAGTAATTTATCATAAAAACATAGTTTAGGCATTAATAGTGTTATACGATCAATTCATTAATAACTAAAACTTGGGAAGACTTTGCATATTATAATCCAAGTCTATATATAAGCCATATACTACTTTGTCAAATTTCAAGGTTTAATAAATTCTTGGAAGACCCTTAAAAAGTTTATTTCTTTTAACGTATTTTCATATCGATTGCGAGGATGTTTTTGATTTTTTTTTTGTTTTGTTTTCTTTTTTTTACGGTGGCTTTTAGGTAATTCTTTCTATTAACATTCACTTTTCTTTTTTTATTTTACTTTCCTGATTTTGGGATTTTTTACTACCGAAACCAAAACGTAAGCGCTTTTTACGTTTTTTCACAATCAACCTGTTGTTGCCTTCTCTCGAATCAGAACCCCCTTCAGTTTTGTTTGTCGTATTCAATTGGCTACTGTTATGTAGTTGACCTTCAATGAAAGGAGATACATTAGTAGCTGATTCAATATATTCTAAATTTCCATTGTTTAAGCTCGAACATATATCAAACGCTTCATTGTCCAGTATTTGATGGCAAAGGAAACTAGTTGGCGGTTGCCCAAGGCTACTAAATGGCTGGTGCTGCTGATGATGATATGTCTGAGAGATAGTGTTGTTGATAGCGGAGGCGTTGGGCAAGATAACTTTTTCCAAAGAGGTTGTTGAAATTCGTGTAGGTGATTGTCCCTTGGTTAAATCGGGAGCCGAATGCACTGATGACGATGTCGAAGAGGTAGATTGTTGACTGGCGGTACTGTGCTGTTTGATCATCATCATTTTTTTGCATTTTGGCGGAGCCAATGTAATAATATTTCCATTGATTTTCGTCAAAGACTGATGCAATAATTGCGGCTGTTGCGCTTTTGTCATCAAAGCATACAAATCTTTATTCATCAATTCAGAACTTTGTGATCTTAACAAAGGGTTGCTGTCATCGAAAGAAAAATTAAAGTTAGGGCATTGTATGAAGTGAAATTATTAATATAGAAAAGTTTATCTATATCTGCGTAAATTTCTAAAGTTTGTTAAAATCTTTAGTAAATGTTTTTGTTAATGTTGTAAGAAACATTTTTTCTTCTTTTGATATAATTAAAATAAAAGTTAGGTGAAAGAAAATTTTTTCTAATTATTTTATGTTGGGTGGCGTGATGATGTAGTATAGCTTACTTGTTCTGTTTTAAACTAAACTTTTGGGGTAGGGAATACACACACAAGCCCACACAGAGAAAGGTTTTCGATTGCTTTTAGAATTTTTTCCTTTTTTTTCAAAAATTTCAGTTTTTATTAAAAGACAGTTAAAGAGTTAATTGAGTATTTATGTTTCTTTATCATTATTTAACAATTTTCATTTCAATTACTATAAATTTAAATTTTCTGTTTTTTTTTTTTTCTATTTTCTTGATTAAGTTAATCACGCAGAAAAATTTCAGGTAGACTTTTGTTTTTGAGTTCTGAAATTGTAAATTAGAGAGAAATTAAAAAAAAAAAAAATAAAAAATATTAAAATCCGAAATTAAAATGAGACGTTCAACGAATTTGAGAGAGGAAAGGACATTTTTTTTTGTGGTTAAGATACGCAAAGTTCCTAGCTTTGTTTTTTATGAAGGGTTGTTATTGCATTCAGAGGGGCGAAAAATTAGTTTGGTGTTGTTTTCGATGCTGCAATAGTCTGTGTGGTGTGTTGGAAGTAAAATATATTTCCCATATTGATTCATTTGTTTTATGGAAAGGGTAACGCAACATACGCTACAGTTAATTTCCAAGCATTTTATTTTTTCGGCAATTCTTTGAGATATTGATTCATTCTTTTCCAATAATTGTAAAACAAATCGAGCAATTTTATGAAGAGAAAATTTGATCAATGTTAACTTTAGAAAGCAAATCTAAATTAATATTATGTAGAAAAAAAAAATTTTTTTTCAATTTAATATCTCAAGGAAACAATTAGTTTAAGTACTTCAACAGCATTAGACTACAATTTGGCGAAACTATTTTTAGTGTTCTTCTCTTTGGGCAAATCTATAACAAACCTTTGATTTGCTTTACGCGGTGGTGGAAGAGGTGCACGGCCAATTGGACCACTGGGTGGTAGTGGTGGCGGTGGATGAACAAATGGACTACTAGTAGTGGATGGAACAGATGAAATAGATGTAGCTGAAGTTTGTTTTTTATTACGCGGTGGTACAGTTATAGACCGCTCTGAAGATGCAGACGGACTGTGACGACTGCCATCATCGCCAACCAAAGCACTAAATAAATTACAAATTATAAATAAATTTTTTTATTTAAATAATTTTTTAAATAAAAGTAATAATGAAATATGATTTTGATGCTGTACACAAATAAAAAAAGAAAGATTTAAGAATACCTGTCATTGAAAGCTTGAATTGAATTGCAATTATTTGTCGTGGAAGTCATCGAATTTGAGTTTAAAGTCGCAGCTGCATGAGTACTATTGCACGTTAAATGATTTTCGATAGGCGCTGGTGCCGTTATTGCTGATGATAAGAGATTGCGTGATGCTATCCCAGCAGGGCAAGGAGATATCGCATTTGTATTTGCAATTGGTGTCGGTGGATTATTACCCAAGTAGAATTGCACAGATTGCCTATCGGGACTACCATCTTCGCTGCCCGACGAATCATCGCGCAGCGCATTCACTGAACTGTTGTTAATTATAGTACTGTTTGATAAACCTGAAGAGCGATTGTATCCATCTATAAAACCTGGATATAAATAAAAAATGTCTAATAAAAATGTTTTCATTATGATCGATTACATAAAGTTTTTCTACGAAAGCTTAGAAATAGGAATTGATGCAACGATTGATTTATTTAGAGGTAAGTAAAAGAGATAAGGAGAAGATAGCGGAAGGTCGAGTATGATATTTTATTGTTTTCAATTAGTGAATTATGGTACGCAGTATTTGAGAGCGTTATTGATCGATATATCTTTTGCGTTTCCACTTTAGCTTTTATATTACTTTTGAGAATGCCTTTACAATTAAAACAATTGTCTAAGAAACGAACAGCATGACAGTGCAAAAGGGAAAAGTATTGGTTAAAGACAGAAAAGACATAATATTAACACAAGACACAAAGCGTGATTAAAAAGTTACTACCATCTGAAGCCACAAAACATAACACATACCAATTAGGAAAAAAAAAAAAAAAACAACAAATTCATTCTTACCTTAAGCTAAACAATTTCAAGTTTAGTTTTGTTGCATACAGAGCTTAAGTGAATGGTTGATCATCTTAGTTGGTATAGGAATAGGAATTGGAATGGAACAAATGGCAAATAATTAAAGAAAAATATGAATAACCTTGTAAATAACAGAATGTGGAATAAACTCGTCAAACCGCTAGATAGGTCAATAAGTTTAGATTCATATAGACCTTCTTAATACTTACACCAAACATCTTGGAAAAGTTTTTGAGATGTTTATTTAACAATTAATCCATTCCGGCGTTTCGGCCAAATTTCAATAAAGCCGAATAAAAGCAGGCTAACCGTTTGCTATGGAAGGATTTAATAGCCAGAAATCTTTATTAGTTGGTTGCCTGTTTGCAAAGAGCTGACAGCGAATTATTGTTTCTTGGTAAGGTTTCAACCCAAACGGATTTTTATGTGTCACGTTCTGTGGCCTACGGGTAATTTCACTTGTACTGTAATGGATTTCTTAATCATTTGAAAGAGGCTTTTGTTTCTTTATTAATCGAAGCAACATATCAATCAAACAATTAACGATCCTCGAATTAAACACCGGAAAGGATTAAGCATCCATCTGTAGATTAATCATATATACAAACACGAAATTTAACGAGAAAAACATATTTATAATTAAAAATCAAAATAAGTTTTATTGAAGGGTAACCAAAAATATTAGATATGATAGCTTTAACATGTACATAAATCTATATTAATTGAAATAAAAAAAAAATTATATAAAAAAAAAAAATTTTTTTTTTTACAAATTTTTTAAAAAAAAAAAAATTTAAAAAAAAAAAAAAAAAAAAAAAAAAAACAAGAGAACAAGCGAGACTTAAAAAGATAGGGTACTAAATAAAAAACTAAGATTCTTAGTGTGAAAAAAATGTATTAAGAAAACATATGAACCGCAAAGAAATTCAATAACACTCCAGCAGGTATTATTGATAATTTTCTCGTTTTGTTTTAACAAATGGAGGTAACATGTCATTAATATGATTACTGTTTTCTATTGGATGTTTAAAACACATTTCAATCTTTTTAGACAAATTTTCATTATGCTTTCGAACGAATTCCAGATAAGTGATTAAAAAGAATTTTTTAAATGTAAGTTTGCGAGATAGATTTACTCGGCGGACATCAAAGAAAAGGTCTCAAAACTAAGCTTACCTTGAACAGATTCATCGTCAAGATCATCTGAGCTACTGGTCATGCGACCTACAAAATAATACATAATTGTCAATATCCGATATTATTATTGCAAAGTTATTCCCAAATTACCTCTTGAGCTCTTTAAAGAAGCAGAGCCACCTGAACCAACGCCATTATTACGGCCGTAAAGTACACTTTCTAAATATGTTAAACCATTATTACTGACAATAGTCATACCCAAGCATTGTTCAATTTGTTTCCAACGATGCAACCGTTCTTGCAATTCATTGGTCACTTCGCCTAATGAATTACGCGCTTCCACGATAGAACGGTCCACATCATCTATACTTTTACCATGAGTAGATACAAATGCACCCACAAGGCTCGAACGTTTCTTACGTAGCTTCTCGCACGCTTCACGAGCCGATTGTAACTGTTTTTCAGCTGCCACACGTTTCTTAAGATGATTTTTACTCTCTAATTCATAAGTATATTGAAGCCATGATTGCAGTTGCGGAGGTGGAGCCCAGCAATTGTCTACCAATTCAATTTCCGCGCGAGACAATTCAGAGCGCAGCATTTCTATTTCTTTTTTTAATTGTTGTACTTCCAAATCTGAATTGGAAGAGGCAAGCGAAGGAACCTCACGTAAACGCCGTTCTAAATCCATTTTCTGAGTCGTCACGCTTTCCTGCTCCATGCGTGCGCGTTCCAGCTCCTGAAAATTTTTCGAAAAATCGGTTATATTTGAAGCGATTGAGTAGATTTCATAAGAACCCTAACACAAACAAAAAAAATAGAACAATTTAAGTGTCTATTGAAATGGGTGTAACATTTAATTTTCATTTGGCCATTTTGCAGTTACATGAGCACATTTTCTTCGATGTCCCTTTTTTGCTTTTTTTCTCAGTATTCGCGATTAATAATAGATATATAAAGATTAATTTTTTATTCTTATTCCTGTTTTGATAAGCGTCGGATTGAAAAATCCAGTAAAAAAAGTTCGAATAGGACGCACGCTTCGTGCCAGAACAGAAGTGCATGAAGTGTGGGGAATATTGCGGCGAGATTAGGGAGGGATTGAATTGTTCGATAGCCTATACACTATTCTTAAGAACTGGGTGGTATTTTACACAAATATTTGATTCGTACGTGATCTTAGTGATGCAACAACTGAAACTGGGAAATAACTGTATAACTGCATACCATAGATATAATCAAGGAATCTGACAAACCTTCTCATTGCAAAATCATTGCTATCAATTCCGCCCGTTTTCGACTGATTTGATTTATTATTAAAACAAGGTGTCCAATTTAATCAAACTAAGATTTATATATTTGAAAATACACACTTCACGACTATGGGAAACTCGCCATAAAGAGGCAAACAAGAGGATCGGAAGCTGTCTACTTGGGAATATCTTTTCTATAATATATAGTTGCACTGCCATGGAGTACCCCATTTGAACAAATATGTGCAGATTTTTATACATCTGAGTAACAATGCGATGGCTTTGCCGTATCGACATTTCTCTTTGGACATTAAAAATCTGCGGAGACAAATTAGATGGTACTTTAGGAAGTAAGAATAATCGATTCGATAGATATCACATGAAAAGACGCCTTGAATTCGCCTAGACAGCTTCAAAGAGCACTTTGAATCACGTTGTTGTATTTGGTTAAAAGTAAATAAAGGCGGTACCCACTTCAAAGGAAGCTTTCTCATGGGCAAAAGTGTTTTTTGGAGCAACTTAGGATTCGACCGACCAGAGCTTTCAGCATCAGAAATATCCGGACGACTTTGCCTAAACTTAGCAAGGTATCTATAAATTTGATTTTTCGACATACAAGAGCCGCCATAATATCTTTCAAGCCGGTATTGATTGTGAACGTAATGTTTCCCATCAAAAAGCGAAGTTTAATCAACAAAAGTAGCGCCGCTCAAAGTACTGTGAGTACTGTGAAATTTTGAGATACTTTGTTCGAAGGTTAGTATTATATAAAAATCATTTGACTTCGTCAATAATGATGATTTCTACACGTCAAGCTACGAACAAACGGATTGATGGGTTATATAATTGCTACGGGATTTTCGTCGTGGTTACCCCAAAATTGTCCTTTCAGTACTGACAGGTTATATAGGTTTCGCCTTATCCTGATGGGATCCTATCGGCCAGTTATTTGTTAAAATAAACTGAATATTTCCATCCTGCGGTCTTACTACGTAGGATGGGCGCGATAGTAAGATTATTGAAAAAAAAGTATTGCAAAAAAAGTTTTCCCTTTTATAAGAAATCTTATGTAATGTAAAAAAGGTTTTCCTCATATAAGAATGCCTGATCATGTGATGGCACCGCCGTTTCGAAAACGCCAAAACAACAACGTATCAAACTAGAATCTCGTTTCGGGGTATATAATACACACAAAAAAGTTAATCTTAACTCACTTTTTGCATTTCTTGCAGACTTTGTTCAGCTTTCTGTAAGCCTTCCATATCTTGAGCCATTCGACGCAAGTGCCGTTTGGCATTTTTATTTTGTTGATAAGCATACCAGCAGCCAATAATTGCACTTAACAAAAGCGTTACCAATATATAATCTTTCCAGCGAGTACCAGTCTCTGAAAATATGAACAAAATGTTAACCTGAGTTATCTTTTTAATTCAAGCTCAATTGTTGATCTACCTCTTGGTGGTCCAAATAATACCACATCCATAGCCTTTAGAGCAATTTTTTGTTTATGTATAGGATCTTTAATGCCCAAAACAGTTCCAACATATTGCATATTATTCACAGCTAATCTATTTATAAAACAGATTGAAATATATTTTTGTTAATTTTTTAAAACGACGGTTGCTTTCAAATTCAAAAAGAATCGATACCGTGGTAATGTGGCTCCTGCAACTTTGTGTACTTTAAATAGGTCAACGTATTGGGGTAATTGCACGGACTGAGCCAACCAATCTGTGGTTTGTTCAATGGTCCAGTTATGAACCTAAGAAATATTGGACGGAAGTAATTCAATATCAAACATTTTCTTTTATATAATTGAAGAAAATAACAATTCACCTCTGATCGTAGCCAAGCTTCCCAAAGCTCCTTAACCGATATATGCATATCGTCATTGTAGTGAAAGGCTTTTTGTCGTTTCTCGTAACCCGAATCATATTTTAACTCTTCGCGTAGAAACTGAACAAGGAAATGTATAATTAACTACGAAATGTAATGGTTAAAAACAACCTACATCATCAGATTCACTTAAATCGATATTGCCATTGTCATCATCATCTAATTGACGATGTAATGAACGTATAGCTTCCATACCTAAACGATCTTGCATACTATAACAGTCCAAATCATCGGCGTGACAAGCACCATCAGCTGAACCACTACCACCTAAAGAGCCTTTGCCGAATTAATCATATTTTAGCATATAAAAAACTGAGCTCTTCATATAAATTTCTTTCACTTACTGAATTCATTACTAACAGCCTGTGACATTGCTTCGCTTAATAAATTATACGAGTTTTTTGATTCAATATGACCGCTACCGGGTATTACAGAAGAAGATGCTGAAACATGCGGACTGCCGCTGTGCGTTGAATACTGATGCTGATGATATGAATGCGTTCCTAAGTGTGGTATTTTGCCACCACCACCACCTCCACCGTCAGCGGAGGCGTGTATATGCGAATTATAACGGTTGGGAATAACTGCCTCACCAGGTGTTCCACCGCTATAAACACAACATCTTTGCGTGGAGAGTGACAGCAATACAAAACTGATCAAAACTTCCCTAAGCATTGCTAACTTTGCTGCACTTCGGATTTATGGTGATTGTAGGTGATTTCCTCTAGAAATGTTTTTTTTTTTAATTTGCTGCATTAAGAAAAAAGATCGATCAATTAATTTGCGTGCGTATTGTTTAATATATCTGGTAAGGTACTTCTAAATGAAGAGTATATAAGAATTTCGTTTGTTTTTTTCTGTTTTTGATTTGAAAATAAAATGAATTGAAAGACTTATTCAATTTTTATTTTTCGCGGCTTGTACTTCGTACTTGTATAGACTTCGCCATCGTTTGCTTTTAACGCAATTAGTGCTACCGATCTGTGCAAATAAGACTTGTTAGAAAAGAAATTCTTTTTTTATTTTTAATTTAAATAAAAGCTGTTTACTTAGTAAAAGTAAATAACTATTTAAGAAATTGTACTGACGTCTGCATACAATCGGCAAAGCTAATAAATAAATATGAGAAAAAAAGTGGACATAAGATATAACAACTTCAAATTGGTTTAAGAAAACAGTTTATTCTTTATTTCTTTTTTTCTTCAACAAAATTAATTTGTATGTAACATAACTTTACCACGTCCCTTTACGCGAATTTTACACACCAATTATCTAAAGGAAATGAAAACAAACGCTTTAATTTCGGTATTGTGCTGAGTGAAATTTTAAGTTTAAGCCGACGCCATTAAAAAATAGAATTTAGCTCTCCTGTAACGGTAGATAAGTGCCTTGAAAATCCCGATTTTTATGAAATCATATGCTTTGACACTGCAGAGCTTCATCGAAACCTTTTAAAACGATATATTTGTTTTGAATTCAAAAATTTTCGTTAATTGTAAAATCCGCGCCAAACTGAAATAGGTGTGGCATATTATACGTGCGCAAAAGAATTTTTCAGAGGGAAAGTACCTTACGGCAGGAATTACTGTATTTAATACAAAGTTTTATAACGTTTTGTAACGGGAAACTTTAAAATATCATTCGACATATGTAGGGAAAATATCGCAACTGAAGTTTTTCAAATTCAATTTTTCCACGGAGCCAATTACAATTGCTAACCGATTAACACAATTTTGGAATTCGAAGTAAGCTAAAGTTTCCCTATGAATTTATTAAAATTTTCTTTGCAATTACATATTGATTTATTAGTAGAATAGAATTAATATAATTAATAATTTCATTATTATTGCATTTCTAATTATAATATAAAAAGGAAAGAAATGAGTCCCCAGAAGAGATAAGAAGAATATTGAATGGAAGGAATGTTTTCCTTTTAAACAAGCAGGTCTGCTTAGTTTTAATTTTCACAATCAGTGGAATAAATCGTTAATTCAGCTAATCAGAAATTTGCGAACCTAGTAAGGCCTTTGAGGCAGTGCTTTTGAATATTGCACAAATTAACAAAATTAAAAATTTAAAAAAAAAAAAAACAGAAAAACCTGATGCCGAATTTGTACTTGAACTTGAAGTTTCTCAGTGTACTTATGTGAGTCAACTAGAATTAGCCACAATGCAATAACAAACAAATAAGTATACAAAGAAAACTGGCTCACAGGCATTCAAACATTATATATATATTTATATATATATATATATATAATAGAAGAAAATATGGGATCATATATATATCACGGATGTGTGAATGAATACATTTTCACATCTTGCTCTTCACCCCATAAATTGAATCATAATCATAAGTTATGGTCGGGCAGATTATTGTTTTTTCTTTTTTAAACAAAATTAAAACAATTACTGGACCGTCTGCATAAAATAAATAAAAGAAAAAAAGTCTTAAAAAAACGTAACATTCGAAAACATTATTATAAATGGTAAATCATATACGTATCGCAGTAAATTAATTGATTTATTTTAATAGTGTTTGTACAGTTTTATTATATTCTCCTTTGATTCATACCCTTCTGCACATATACATGTGCACTATTTATAATGAACAGTGCGGAGGCTCTTGCTAGCTTGTTTGCATTTTGGTTTATCTTGTTTAAATGAGATTTGAAGCGTTTTTATTATTTTTATTAGTATCATTTTTTTTATAGCGATGCGCACTTATCTAAGATTTGATTTTTATTCCACTCCGATAGGCACCACCTATGTACATTATTATTTATGTATATAAACGTTTCAATTAACTTTAAACGATAGTGTGATAAAGATATTCACGTTACAATTTCTATATTTTTACGTGATAATTAATTAAGGAAAATATTTTTTTGTATTGTTCTAGTATTTTTTTTTTTCTTCTTTTAGTTACATTATATACAAGCTGGCATAATTGCTTTTCCTCTATTTCGCACTAGTCATTTTTCATCTGAGAATTATTCGCATAATAAATTGGTGCTGTTAAAGAACTTACGGGTTTTTCTTCTCTCTACGAAAATATTAAAATCACATACATTTAAACAAACATCTGTGCATTTTATGATTATACTGTATGAATTTTTTGTCTACGTCTTGATCGCCTTTTATAAAATATTTTTAAACCTTAAAAAATTATTTATTTTAGTCAATCGTTTAATAATAATTAAGAAATTTATCCGTGCCAACAATTACGATTAAAGAAGAAAAATACAAACGTCAAAGAAAGAAAGAAAAAAGCAAAAAAAAAAAAAAATATTTGACAATAATGCCTCTTTACATCGCTCGAGCGCAGTGTTGTATTTGATTAAGTAGAAAATTATCGCGGTAGCCTTAGATAAATAGATGCACACCTTTAAATGATGCTAGAGCCCTTAACTTTGAGCCTCATACACATTGGTCTAAATATTTCGCAATAAAAGTTTGCTTTTCCACGAGTATGTCCATTTATAACTCTCAAATATATTCATCACAAATCACATAGAGTACCACTATTTTTCATCAATTCAAAATTCTGTGTTTGTATAATTCTGTTTCTCTTGCCGTCTGTCATTCAAAGTATGGTTTGCTGTTAAGGCCTTTACGGTTGCAAAGATTAAAATAGAAAACTAAGCCTTATAATTTTTGTAATATAAATTGTAATAGCTGATGTTAGTATAAACTTTAAAAACGAAACTTTAAAAATGATAAAAAAAATAATCCGTCCATCAATCAAGGATATATTTAAGCCCAATTGATGTGAATTCTATTGAATGAAATTTCAACAAAAGGAGACAGACACATCAAAGTAGGCACAAGTGCGCCCTAAATTGCATTCCCATTGCTGTTTAGAAGTTTCAAATCATATTTATTCTATGATAAAATTTTGTTCAGATAATAAATGTAATTAGCGTATTAGGTATATTTTAAAATTCGGCCCGTGGTCATTAATTAATAATTTGTGTGCTTAGTTACTGCTTTGTGGGATCAAAGTTTTCGAAACGTGGAATTGGTTTACTAATATTGTTTCAGCTCAGACAATAATACGTCAACATTGTATCCCAATCATCATGACAAATCATTCCTAAAACATGCCCATCAATTTAAATCACGCTGGCTTCATAAAAGACGAAGCAATCATTTGATTGCTATTTTATTTCCAGGACATATAAACACAAATCTCTCCCAATTCGTGATTAGAATCTTGAATAGGATTAGAAATTAACTTATGTTTTATTCCCCTCACAAGCGATAATAAATTGATATCTATTGAAGCTTTTATATCGTTATAAAATAAATATTGTAAGAGGGCGCTTAATTCGATTAACTTTTCAGTAAGGTCAAGTTTTAAAGGAATAAAGGTTATATGAACGAATTTTATCACACTTAATAATAAGAGAATAATAAAGTTTGTAAGCGTTTTTGCGGCAATTGTGAGCAATTTTTTCAATGAACTTAACAACAGAGTTTTCATTGCATTATATATTAGTAGGTCTGTCCCTTTTGTGTAACAATATCTAGGAATTAAAAACCTATATGTATTGTGAGGATTCAAACTTCCACCTCATTTTAGATTCAAAATCCGATTATTTGGGAGCGATAAGATGGTCATGCACATGTGATTGTAAGCGTAAACGGGCAAGTCAAGGTCTGTCTGATCGAACATCTTTTTCCTGCTATTCGATAGAGAATGTATGAACGGATTATCTCTTGATAGCGGGCGCCTGAAACCCGAATTAATCTTAATCATAAGACATCCACAACGTCCACAAACAAAATGCTGTGTCTTGCAATCCGCAACGATTATCCGACTATCTCAGAAGTTTAATAAAGAATCGAGAGAGATTAGCTTACAAGCATGCGTACAGTAGATAAAAAAATGTAATTTACTAAGAGATATCTATGCGCTATAAAGCATATTCATCTCTTCCTCAATTTTGGATAGAAATTGCTTTTTACATGATGTAAATTTCAGTTGTTACATTGTGTAGCATTTATGACATTGTTTTAAATAAAAAAAAAAAAAAAAACACAACCGAAGTTACAGAAATAGTTAAATTAACTTGTGGTGAAAATGTAGTAAGCTATGAAACAGTTAAAATATTTTTTGCGGCATTCCATGCAAAAAATTTGGTCTTGAGGACGATGAACGTTCTGTATGTCCGAAAAGGAATCACCTATTAAAAACTTTTAAAGCCTGGCCAAATTGTTATATCTGATCGATCCACAGCCCAACTAATCAAGTTACCCCAAGTCGGATCACGGTGAGCCTTTCACACTTTAACATTTAAAAAACTATTAGTAAATGTACTGTTACTTATAATGGCATATTTAACTGTTTTCGTTTTTCTAATAAATTTTTTCACAGGGAGCCTCATATTCGCACAGTCAGAAAGAAATTCCGTATCTTGGGTAAGAAGGACCCAAACACGGATGCGTAGAGGAGCTGTGAAAATGAAAATAATCAGTTGCGTCGTTCCAATATTATAGAGTAAGAAAATTTAGATTTTTCGATGTTTTACAGCATTTTTTTAGGATAAAGATGATAGATATAAAAAAATCTATCATGGCCGAATATAATTTTCTTACTTGTTTCATTTTTGAAGATTTTTCTTATTTTCATTTAGTTCGAAAATAAAATATGGCTGGCCGGTGTATAATGATATATATAGTATTTATAAATAGTTTGTTTGGGTAAAAAAATAAAAAAATATAAACTATACACAATTTACTGTCTAAAATAAAGGACCACTTTCTGATTGTGAGCCCGTGAAGATCATCGTGGTATAATTTGTTACAAGAACTTTGTTCTTTGAGCGTTCCATGACATGCGTAACGAAAAAAGTAAAAGTACTTACGAACAAAGGAAATCGAAAAGTTTCTCTACTTCCTGCAAAGCATCTTGGCACGCAGTAAAACCAACCCAGGAAGAACTTGGGCTGGGAGTTTCATCCAATTGCGAATAAGTATCCCGACTCTCTGATTATCATTTGCTCAAGTCGATGCTATTGTATTTAGATGTAGATCTGCAAAAATGGTTCGATGACGCTTATCATGCGATAGCACAAACTTTCTACATAGGGGCATCCCTAAGCGATACGCTAAGTACGAAAAGACCTCAGCTAGTAATGGTAATTATTGTGAATTTTTAAGTTTCCCAGCAAGCGGGTAACCATATAAATAGGCGACAATCGCCAAGAGAATCTAATCATGTTGGCAAATTTGTTGGCGATTGTCACTAAATGCGCTCTGTCAGCTACATCAAAGCTGGCGATAATGAAGTTGTTGTCGCTCAGAACAAATTTGCATTAGTTTGAATATAATTCAAGCAACACAAGTCTTTCGCTCTCTCTTGGAGTTGTGTTTGTGAAAAAACAGCTGCAAAAGAAAAGTATAAATAGCTGTTAAAATATGAATTATTAATTCAAAAATTAAAAAAAATTAAAACAAAAAATTTGTGTCCGAAATTACATTTGTGAATTATGTAGAAAAAGAAGGAAAAAAATTTGGCAAGAGTACAATTTTCCTCTAAAATATCGAGGCAAATTAAGCAATGTTGATCAGACCAGAGAATCGCGACGCAGAAGAAAGGACGACCGTGAAAAGCTTTGCGGGATGCTTCTTTTCCCCTTGCCCCATCTCTAAACGAAAAAATAAATTGTTTCTAATATTTACAAATGACACACAAATATATGTCGTTGTATCGTTGTATATAGATTTGTGTAGAAATTCCGCGTTTCATTATGTCCTGGGAAAAATTGATACGAGTAGTGGTATGAGGAATACATGTATACCGCCAATGTTACGATTAGCCATGACTGGAGTTGTTGGCCCCAGGAGGTTATCAGCGGCTGGGCTGGAGTGACCGTACCATAAGCTTTACACAAGGCACGTTATCGATAGTTGTATCAGAGTTGTCACATGTGTTGGAAAGAAAATTTCTAGATCCACTTCTCCTGCTTTTATATTTTTCTTCCTTTTTTTCAAGTGATAGCGGATACCCCTTAAAGTTTCGGTTTATGACATCTTACCGAAATTTGGCGGATCGCCTAAAAAAAATAGAGTGAAATACATTGCAAGAGGACTAATATCGGTGTGAATTGGTGTATATAAACGTTAGTATTGCAGTCTTTGGTATTTCGAATATCTTGCTATAGTTTTTAAACATTTCTCCAAGTCGCTAGCGTATTCTACAGGAAGAGCAAAAAGGTTGCTAGAGTTTAAAGAAGCTGGGAAGGATCGCAAACGTTAATGCGATGCTGCACCACATTTGCCCCTACTAAAAAGTGGGAGCAGACCATTTGAATACGATCTATAAAAATGATAGTGTTGGTGTTTATGTGGAGGCAGTTGTTTGAGCGAGTTAAAGTTTTGCGGGTACGAAATTTATAAACATAATCATAAAAGTATAAACAATTTTTAAACATGTAGTTCGCAAAAAAATTTATATAAAAGTTAAAGAAATACTGGAAGTAAAAATTTTTATATGCTGGATCTTCTATTTATTTTTTCATATATGAGAATAAAAAAAAAACTATTTGGGATATAAGGGAATGGAAGATGAAGAAGACATCATTTACATGAATCACTAACAATATATTATAACAAGACTGTGAACATTCATTTTCGTGAAAAATCTGTAAAAAAATAACAATAATATACAATAACAATATACAATTAACTCTTTTTGCAATAAAAAACCTAAAAATTTGAATACTGGATTTAAGTTTATTACTTTTTCCAATTGTCAAATTCTACATAATTTTCCATTCATTTCATTTTGCGTGCTTGCTATTGTTTACCATATCTAGTTTATTTATACAAAACAAATCAACATCAATTTGGATACCATTTTTAACGTTTCTCTCAGTTATTAATACATTACAATGGAAAATTTGAGGGTAGTATTGAAAATCTGCAGGCGATGATACTTGGTTATCTTTTTGGCGGTAATTAATTATCTTCTAAAAAAAAGAGGCGATACAGGCCTTCCGTATACTAATATGAATTATATTCTAATTAATGAGAAGAGCTGTGTAAATGGTATGACTATAAGCTGCAATGAAGTGCTTTCTGCACCGCTTTAAAAAATTTAGACCGTTGACTGCATCTTTCAGCGTTAAGAGGATATATTCTGTCCAAGAACGCCATTTTGCATCACTTTTACTATGCGTTGAGAGATAGCGCAGATGGGTTCCTGCGATATCCATGCAAAAAAAAACAAAATTGTGTAAGAAATATATGCAACTTATAGGGATATGTTCCACAGCTTTAAAAAATAATGTGAGATACAAGTACTCGAAATATTTTCCCAGGAAATCGCAAGAAAAGGTAACAATGTAATCAATATTATAATATATATAACAAAACAGAAAAAATCATTTTTACTACAAAAATGAATTAAAATCAGTATACGGTGAAAATTCAATCCATAAATACGACATGCAAAAATTTAGATTTAAATTAGGAATAAAATCCAATTTCCTAACTCTAACTAACACATATCGCTAACACCTATATGGGCATAAACCGAATGTCTTCTGATCTCAATTGTATTGTATTACTGTGTACATAAGTTTTCGTGAGACAATGTCAAAATAAGAATTAAAAATGTTTTTTTTTTAGGATTCGTGCTAGAACAAAAAATTCGTGTAAAAAAGATGTGTTTGCTCTCATCATATGTAAACTGTGTTATTTTAAAAACGTGTAAAGAAGACTTCGTAAAAAAGAGCGTTGTGTGGCACTTGAAGCCATGACCATTTTGTCGTACTCTATCAAATAGCTTGAAAATATATAGCGCAACCACCTTATTTTCGCCTAAATGGTGAACAGCTCTGTCCTCAGGGATGTGAGCTACCACGCCATCAGTGGACCAATTGGAAGTGAAAAGCCTACTCTTCATCGTGGATGATAATTAGTTAGATAGTACATAATTAAAGATGGCTATAGGGGAGCAGATTTCAATTGGAAAATAATTTGCAAAACTTGTGGAGTTACCACTTTTGGGTGCTGATGCGATATTGGCAATCTTCCATTAAGTCAGGAGAATGCCAGCATGAGAGTAAATACTAAAGGGATTGGGCGGTCGCCTGGCAAATGTGGCAACATATTTTTTTAAGATTAAGCATGAAACCTAACCACCGGCTTTTTGCTTACGTAATAAGATTTAACAATTTTTGTACGCTGTACAACTACAGTGAGTCTCATTAATATTGAGTTTTTTTCGCTCGAGAAAAAGTGAACGCTTGTTAAATCTACTCCATTGCCCATATATAAAAATTTATTATTTTTAAGTATTATTTAAATTTGCGAAAAAACATGTTTCTAATTCGATCCACCAAGAATTGGGCCTTTTTTCCCTGGCAATTTCTAGTCTTAGCTTCGTACTACGTTTTTCTTCCAACGGTTTACTGCAAGCATGGCAATGATCTTGCTACAGTTCGGGTATGCATCAGACTCGGAAAATTTGGTGTTTATGGATGGCGTCCTAAGCAAGGAGGATTATTTAAGGATATTGATGGAAAATTTCAAAATGCGGACAAACTTTGCATTTTGGAAACATTCAAGCTCTACGAAGAAAACGACCTCAAGCATAAGTCCCGCTTAATCCAAGAATGACTCTTATATAACTGCCCCAAACAGCTTCACATTCTTGCCCAATCACCAAGCATGGACTCCATGCAAAACATGTGGGATGAATCAGACCGCCGTGTATAAAAACACTTAATCTCTTTAGACCAGATCAAAAAAATAAACTACAAGAACAATGGCGTAAGAGCCCTGCTTTCTAGACAAGATCGAATTAGAAACGTGTTTTTTCGCAAATTTAAATAATACTTAAAAATAATAAATTTTTATATATGGACAATGGACTAGATTTAACAAGCGTTCACTTTTTCTCGAGCGAAAAAAACTCAATATTAATGAGACTTATTGCATGTATGTATTGTATTTCACAAACAGAGGCAAAGTCCAAACAAAATAGGGGAAAACAAATATGATCTAAGTTTCAATCAGCAGTAGGTTTCAATTACGGTTACTTTCGAAACCATAAAATGGGTGACTCTATATATTAGGAAGTCTCTGCTTGATATGGATTCTGGAAATATTTGCGCTTCACCTTTTTCTACTATTATCGTTTTCACTGTTGTTGTTGTTGATTCTGCTGCCGCAATTGCTGCTATTGTTGGTGTTGAAATTGTGTTTTCTATTATCATCACATTTTTTTTGCAGTTGTCGTCCTTGTATATAGCTAGAGTCGTAGCTTGCTTTCATTGTTTTTCTTTTTTTTCTCTGAAAAAATTGATCAGACGTTCCTTGCTTTTCGCTTTTTCGTTTAGCAAGCATTTGGCGATAGCAAGAAATCGATGCAACGCTCCTTTGTCTTGGCACAGAAGTTTTATTAAATTTTAAGTCATTTTATACAAACTGATCGACAATTTTCGTTGTAGTGGCGTTTCGAAATTCCGCTGAAATTATTTGTGCTGTTCATTTTTAGAACGGAGACTCCTTCTTCATTTTTGTGCCCACTGTGGTCTGCTAAATTTAGAGAATCGTCGTTGGAAAGTATTTCAGCAACTGAAACGTGCAATAATTTTTCAATATGTTACATGTTAGTATCACTGAGCCTTCTTCCCTTATCAAAGTTCCATACATTCTGTTGACATAATATTATGCCGGAATAGTTTAAAGGGGCTTTGCTTTACGCTTTTAAACTAAGGAGAACGAATTTCGCATACTTACCACTGTGCTTTTCGCATTCTACTTCTCAAGTTCTTTTATTTGATACCCATATCATTGGTATTATTAAGAAAAACGTAATTGCGGTGTCTACCATATTTATTTTAAAATTAACCAATCGTCATTTGAGGAATGTGTAAAATAGTTTTAAAGATTCGGTCTTGCGTATATGTTAGATAAGCATAAGGCATTTTTTCCATTTTTGCATGCAAAAAGTTAAGTAAATGTGGAAAATTTCAGCCTTCTAAATTTTATAATTTCTGAGAAGCGTGCAAAAATCCACAAATTTTCGTTAAAAGAAACAGAGTTGCGTTCAGTTCGTGCACCACTGCGGGCATCTGCTGTAATCAATTCGGCCCATTTTCATTACCAACCTGTGTGCAAAAACTTCCAATTTTCTACTGAATTTAAAGTCGATATCTTCATTTCTGCGACCAGGAGAGCGCTGACAACAAGCACCACACAGACGGACACACTTCGCTGTCTCAACTCAGAATTTCTCGCTGTTCAAGGATATATATATACTTTATAGTGTCTTTGAAGTTTTCTTTTGCGTTTTATACACATTATGAAAAAAAAAAAAAGAAAAGAAAAGATGAGCATACCCCTATCTTACAGTGGTGGGTATAAAAACAGATAAAAAATTATATTCAGTCCTCCTTTAATACTCACCGCTAGCTTGTACATGATATTTAATTTTAACATAGAAAGTCCATTTCCTTGATGTATCCAGAGTACATCAGAATCTATATTCGGCAGGTCGTATACATTTAGACTGATATTTTTATTAAATTTAGGAACACCTTATAAGTTGCAGTATGGCCTAAACTTTAAATTTATGCACTTCGACATTTTTTATGGCGTACATCAATACGTTACATATATTTAACAAAACTAATATCCATCCCGTAGCATGGCATTAATCAATTCAAGTCGCCAATAAAAACGTTATGTTTTCAAATACCCAATAAAACATTAAACAATTGAATTTAGGAACGTGAGTTTCATTAAAAACGAAATCGGATGAATTACTTAATGTCTGTGACTGTATAGTGCAAATGTATAATTAAAAAAAAAAAAACAAAAATATTCAGAAATGTATGCAAAACAAAAGAACTACTCTCTTCTCGAAGTCCTCTCAGTTTGAAATTTTTTGAAATAACTAATAATTCCACCACTATTCCTTCTACTTTCTGCGAATAACAAACTTTACCGTGCTCATATCATGCAAGAAGAGAACCATAAAGAGGTTAATGAAAATTGCACACTTTTTACAGTAGTTAGTAGCTAACTGATTTTTAATGGAAATGCATGCTTGAGGACGGCTTGCAAATGTGGCTAAGAAGGTGATTGCGATTTGTAGTCCAAATGATTGTTGTGATGATTTAATTGTGATTTTGTTTAATAAAAACAAGAAAAATACATGCATACCGATAAATTAAAATAAATTTTATATAAACTGAATTAAAAATCAATGAACGATAAATTAATATTAAAAATTATGCTTCCTTCTACTTGGATACATAAGAGTTCTTAAATTTAATAATGATATGTAACAATGTGTGATTTAGTGAATTGACCTGGATTTGTATACATATTAATGTTTTCTCTCTTTTGCCTAGTTTTCTGTTTCTCAT